TGTGCATTATCACCATCTCATCTACTCAAAAAGGACCAGACGTCCTGGCCGACAAATTTCCATTTCAGAGACGCCATCTCGAAGATTCTTTCATCCGCAGGTGGATACTACGCTGCGGAAGCTTTGAGAATTCGGAGAGGACATATATTACGCCAGGTAATTACATCTCCGCTGTGGCTCAACTAGCCCGTTTCAGTATCCTGGCGGAGTTTGTACCTTTTGAGCCAATCTTCAATGTTCAAAATTGAAGTGGCTGAGAGCTATGGATTGCGAAATTGGCATGGTGGGGCAGGAGCTAGTAATACATCAAGACCAATTAAATAGCACAGTCCCACTTTGCGGCCAACGGTGGCAAGTTAATTAAACGGCTGTGATTGAATGGTCAAACATGGACCAGAAAAGGAGGTTTCACCTTTTAACTCTCAACATTCAGCTCTCATCAGGGATTCGCGGTCCACAGAGGCCGGCCCCTCATCTCTGACATTATTCGATGCTTTCGGAATACATCGAGTTTACACAAAACACTGTTAACTTGACAAGCGGCCGGCGCCTTTAGCTGTTTATCAATTGACCTGTCTTCTCCTGTATTGCGCTGAGTAGGCCAGTCCCAATATGTTCAAGGCTCAAGCTAGGCCTGACACAAGACGTGTGTGGCTGGTATAAGCTTATAATGGTTCCTTTATGTCGATTGCCGAGTCTATATGTATCACAGCAGGTGGAATTCCGCTAAACGATAAGCTTAAGCGCAGAAAACGGCGGCTTTGGCAGGTGTGAGTTTGAGGTTTCGAATATAATAAACTGTGAGCATCTGAAGAGCCAGCTCTCTCTGAAGTACTCCGTATTCCCTGTGCACGAGGGAAAGGCCATGAAATGAAATCAATGGCCGAGTCACGCGCAAGTACCCATTAAGAGAATGGTATACGGGATGATGCTCGAGTACCATGACAAGGACCGAAAGCATGGTATACGGACGGAGAAAGAATATGTATGGATGCTTATTACCTATTGTACCTTATATTTACTGAGGTTTGGCCTTGTTTCTTGACTAGGTTCTACGCCGCCATTACTCCTCATACTGTTGGATGCTTACGCAGGTTAAGTACCACAGAGCTTACTCGAGATCCCAGAATCAAGGAGAGGCATGCGAGGTCAACCTTGAGTGTCCATGCTGGCCCAGGTATGCCGAATTAAGCCCCTCCAAGTATACATGGCACTCAGCTGGAAGACACGCTCAAAAAGAAACACTCTTTATTTGACATAGGGTTCACCATCCAAAAGGCTGTGGTTAGCTCGGACATGTTTTTTATTTTCTGATCGTGTAGGCCGCGCAGCTGCTTCTTCATGATATTTGCGTACTGATTGAACAATAAGAGGGATATGACGTTACCTTTGAAGCATCTTCTCCCAACACAATTAGTACCAAATACCAACAACTTGTCTACAGTATAACGATAAAACTCGATTGTGCACGACCTGGACTTTGGTCAATCTCTTAGAAATGTGGGATATAGATTGTAGACCAGGAGCACTTGCTAAGCGAACATGGCCTTGTCCGAAGTCTTGGGTATAGCATTCGCCCACTCTGCACAGTTTCTTCTTTTTTTCTTTTTTTTTTTTTTTTTTTTTATGCAACGTGCCATGAGTTCGAATATGGATGGCGGGAGAGCATATACACACCTCCAGGGCTGTCGCTAGGTAGACAAGGCATCTACTTCATAGAGGTAGTTCTGTTCCTTCCTCCCGAACAACCTCTAAAAAGGGAAGTTACCAGCCCACACTCGGTACACGGTGCATAAACTTGCTCTCCAGCCAACACATTGCTGATTGACGGATTGAATAAGCTTTATTGTTGTCCCTCTTCTATCTAGACTTCATGGGTTTCGGACCCCTGATCGTCTGAGGTGTGGACCTGCATTGCGTGTTCCGGATGCCCTCTGATATCGACATCTCCCGCGGCAAGGGCACCACCATCTGCTTCGGAGCAAATAAGAGCCCGCGGGACGGGAAGATCACCGATTATCACCTGTGATCAACAGTGGATAACATGAATATCACCCCATGCAGGATGCCCTGGGGCTCCAGCAGAGCGGGATGATGGTGGGCCTCTGCGTTCTATCCTCGACTCCCTGAGGCCTTTGAGGTAGGGTCCGCCTGTCGCATAGAAGAGGACGAATTTCCAGGGCTCAAGCGACTCACCTTGTCTTTCTGTTGTGCGTACATCCGTCCGTAAGAGTGTCGCTTGTCTTTGGCTTGTGTGCTTGTTCTTTCTTTTCTTCATCTTCTTTGTTAATACCACTGTCGTTCCTTGAAATCTTCTTCGGGCTTTCCCATCTACAATCGCTTGCTCATTCGGTCGACTAAGTCCTTCGTTTTCAAAAACTCTTCCTAATTGAATCCCGCTTTGGGCTTACCATTCTTTCGTACACGGCACTCGACCTGACTCTGACTCTGAGTATTCCGTGATCCAGCTCCAGTCTCCTTCCTTGAAGCATCAACATGAGGTTCAGCAGCATCCTCGCAGGTGCTATACTGTTTGCCAGCAGTGCTAGCGCTGTAGATGTAGACCCTATCGTCATCAAGGGGTCCAAATTCTTCTACAAGAGCAATGACACCCAGTTTTATATCCGAGGCGTTGCCTACCAGCAGGACTATTCCGGCAGCCAGTCCTCCAACAGCTTCAAGGATCCTCTAGCCGACGTCGATGCTTGTAAGCGGGACGTTCCATACCTCGAGAAGCTTGGTACCAACACAATTCGTGTATATGCCGTCGACCCGACCGCGGACCATACGACGTGCATGGACCTTCTCAGCCAGGCCGGTATCTATGTGATTGCGGACCTCTCATCCCCGGGGGAATCTATTATACGTAACGACCCAAAGTGGGACAGCGACCTTTTTAACCGATACGTCACTGTGGTGGACGCTCTGGCCAAATATACCAACGTCATCGGGTTCTTTGCTGGAAACGAAGTATCAAATACGAAGCAGACAACGGATGCTAGTGCTTTCGTCAAAGCTGCAGTGAGAGACATGAAGGCATACATCAAAGCAAAGAATTACCGCCCAATGGGAGTTGGCTATGCTACTAATGACGATTCGTCAATCCGTGAGAAGATGGCCGACTATTTCAACTGCGATAATGCGGAGGAGAGCATTGATTTCTGGGGCTACAACATCTACTCCTGGTGTGGAGATTCTAACTACGAGGAGTCCGGTTACTCGACTCGTACTGATGAGTTCCGCGACTACTCGGTCCCTGTTTTCTTCGCTGAGTACGGTTGCAATGCGGTTGAGCCTCGCAAGTTTACTGAAGTCTCTGCGCTCTATGGGCCGAAGATGGCTGATGTCTGGTCCGGTGGTATTGTTTATATGTACTTCCAGGAGGCCAACAACTACGGTATGTGTTTGGTGGTTCTATCTGTCCTACGTTCTGCGACTAACGATCCGCAGGGTTGGTTAGCATTGATGGCGACAAGGTAAGCACTAGAGCCGACTATAGCTATCTTTCCCAGCAGCTGGCTAGTGCTACTCCCTCTGGGACCAAGAAGAGCGAATACACCCCAACAAACAGTGCACTTCAGTCATGCCCACCGGTCAACGGCGATTGGCTTGCAACTGCGAGTCCCCTTCCGCCCTCGCCAAACGGCGACCTTTGCTCGTGCATGGAGGACAGCTTAAGCTGCGCATTGAAGGACACTATATCGGACGACCAGGTCGAGAAGCTCTTTGGGACCGTCTGCGGCTATGATGTCTGCGAGGGAGTGACTACCAACGCAACCACCGGCAAGTATGGCGCGTACAGTGTCTGCAGTCCCAAGCAGCAGCTGTCTTATGCTATGAATCTCTACTACGAGCAACAGTCCGCCAAGGGCAAGGCCCAGTCTGCTTGCGATTTCAACGGCGCTGCATCCACTCGGACTTCCAGCAGTCCCAGCGGCACTTGCTCCGCGCTTTTGAAGGAGGCTGGCAATTCCGGTACAGGCACTGTAACTAGCTCCCCGACCGGGGTTGCGGGTGCGGCCGCGGTTGGCTCCTCTGGTAGTGCATCGGCGTCGACCTCTGAGGGTACTGCATACGTGAATGCTCCCGGGAAAGTCACAGTTGGGATCTGGCAGCTCGGTTTGTATGTGGTTACTGCCATTGCTGCCGGGGCTGGTATGGTTCTGCTGTAGATTTTCGGCTCTGTGTACATTAGCGGCGCGTGGTCTCTAGTCCCGGCATTGTGTGAACAAAGTATCTGTCATGGTTTCCTTGTGTTGCGGCGATAATGTCCATGCTGCGAATCCGGCCGGGAGTGAGAGGTTCGGGCCTTGTCCAAAAACATGTATCCTTAGTAGGTGTACGGCGTTCATATACTCCGTATGAGTTCTACCTAATCCATTGGGTCGTGAGTCCTTCCATGAGTTGACTGTATGGTAGATTGTAGGATTTCTCCGATTATGGCCATGTTGGACGAGGTTCTAGAATTGCGTGTTGTCGGAGATCATGATATATATCACTGATGCCAGCATAACCAGAGACAACTCCATAAGTGCTGTCCCGGCTGTGTTCAATACCTATCCTTGTCTTAGATGCTGGTAAGTCGCTCATAGGTAGATCGGGTAAACAAGCAATTAGCAGCAGCTGCGACGAACACACAACAGGAACTCACTAGACATCCTTCCATCATAAGGAGTTTTTTGAGGACTGGTAGTTTGCTGGTTCACTAAATTATCTAGCTGAGCTTCCTTAACAACCAGGCCCGGGTGGTCTAGTGGTATGATATCTTTTGCATATCACTCCGAGTACGCATAACACTGGTAACTAATATGCCCACCAATTTAAAAGCAGTCTGTGTGGTCATCAAGATAGCTACAAGAACCCTAGTGTTAAGCAACATGCATCAAACTGAAACTGCGTTAGAAGCCCTGGCTTTTTGTGTATAGATCCATGAGGAGAGAATCCACCATTTTCCCTGGGTAGGCTCCTATAATTAATTAAGCTGCTTGCATAGCACAGTTGCCCGGGTGGTCTAGTGGTATGATTCTCGCTTAGGGAAAAACCCAAGCATATCTGCGAGAGGTCCCGCGTTCGATCCGCGGCTCGGGCCCTGATCCTTATTTTTCTTTTTTGTGGTTGTAGATTTTCCTACTTCCATGGTACTAACATCTGTTTATTATTGCTAGACAATATATAATACCTACCACAAAAATTGGTGGACGGGTAGATAACCCCCTAGTAGAAAGCAAGTAAATACACACATCCTGCAGACTGCACCTTAATGCCGGCTGTCGAGATATGTCTCGTCCGTCCTCCATCATCACAGCAGCCCGGGTCACCTGGATGCGGTTGCCATGTCAACCACCAACTTCCAACTTTATACTCGGACTATCAACATGACACCATCTTCCCAGCAAACGAATGTATATATATTATTCTCGTCCACAACCAAGAAAGCAAAGTGACAGAAGACCTATATCGTCTTCGTTGCCCTACTTCTCTCTCGCAGTCACAATCGGAGACGCGGGACAAGCTGCACAACACCCAGAGGGAAGCCGCAGGACGGGCGACGAATCATGGCAAGACTCAACGCAACGCCGGCGAAGCAGACAACTGCTCGGAAACTGACAAAATTATCCGAGAAGAAGGAACCACACACTTCCGTCCGACGTATATTCAAAGATTGGTCACCCACAACAGAGGCAGAAGAAGACAGGGAGGAACAATGGAGGATAGCAACCGATGCATGGGCCAAAGACCGATCTTATGGATTTGGAGGAAGACCACCGCTGGGAAGAAATCGATCACAACGGGAAAAGAAGGCGACTTTGGCAAAGAACTTCAACATACTGCCCGATAGTGACGGGTCGAGCGACGTGGACCAGGAATATAGATCCTCCATGAGTTCTGCCCCCGAGGAGGCAATCGAAACAACAGTTCCGCTGAAGCAAGCACATGTCAACTCACTCCTGCTCCCACTCTCGCAACAACCACGAAACCGACCAACTCAAAAACTGGAAACATATGACTATGCGAAGGAGAACGACCCCATCGACGGGGAGGAAGAGGAAAATGCACCGACAATATCCAGGCATTCCTCCAATGCCTCTTCGCGGTATTCGCCAACAAGGAGGAATGCCCGCCAGGATATGGAAGAGAAGGAGGGAAACCTCAGATTTCTGAGTTATCGGCAGTCACAGGAGTCTAATTCAGAAGATGAAGGGGGAGACAACAGCTTTAGTTCTCTGGACGATTTCATAGTCAGCGACAATGAAGAGCTGAGCTACCATGAGACATCTGCAGATGATCTAGAGGAGGAAGAGAGCCCGGAAAGGATCTCTCCCCCAAGACCAAGGCGAAGGTTGCTAAGAGGCAGACGACCAAACCCTGAAGCAGAGCTCAAGGAGGCTTTGATGAACCCTTCATACAAAAATGACCTCTGCCTAGAACCATCTCTGCCACCTACGATGACAATACCATCCCCCCAGCTGAAACCAAAACCTGAGAAATCACACGTGAAAAATTCCACAATGACCAAAGCCATGAAAGTGCTGAACCTGGAGGACTCTGATACTGACTCCCAGCTTCAAAGAGACAGGTGAGTGGGTTTCAGGCGATCCTTAGGCCATTATATCACTTCATTATCTGTTGCACGCTGCTAATATCCGACAAGCGCTGCAGCGGATACTGATTCACCCACAAAGAAATCAGAAGCTTCTCTGGCGGTTCTAGAAACACCACCTCCCAGTCCCTCTAAAAGCCTTCTTCGATCACCAACGAAGGGCAGGATCTGCATACCGCCAACCCCATATCGCGAGAGCGTTGATGCTTTCTGGAGCCAAGACGCCACAAATGACTGGATCGACCAACATTCTCCGCAGAAAGAAGAAAAGAAATTAGAGCAGTACCTACGAGAATTTGAGGAGTCAGATGGTGATACCAACTACGAAAACATGCGAAGACCCCGTGAAAGGCATAGAGAGCCCAAAACTCCAAGCAAGACGGCGTTGAAGAGAGCAGAGACAGAGAAGAAGAAAGCTGCTCTAGCACGCAAGAAGTCGTTTGACAACAAGAAAGCGCAAATCGCAGATGAATTTCTCAAGGTTCTAGATGAGGCCGTTTCTGGAGGCCAAATCCAAAAGCTCGCAGAAGAAACAGGCGGTGTACGGATCATTTGGAGCAAAAACCTGCTGACTACAGCCGGCCGTGCTAACTGGAAACGCGAGAAGATTGGAAAAGAGTCTCGAACATCAGAAAGCGGATCTGAACCATCGACGTTGATCAAGCAGCATGCTACAATTGAGCTTGCAGAGCGCATCATCGACAGCGAGGATCGACTGATTAACACAGTGGCACATGAGTACTGCCATCTGGCGAATTACATGATTTCAAACATCCACAACAACCCCCATGGGGCAAGCTTTAAGCTTTGGGGTCGCAAATGCAAAGAGGCCTTGAAAGACCACCCTGTGTACGGCGGAAGAGTTGAAGTGACGACGAAACACAGCTACCAGATCGATTACAAATATGTCTGGAGTTGCGTTGACTGCGGTCAGAACTATGGCCGGCATTCGAAGAGCATTGACACTGCCAAATCTCGCTGCGGCGCATGCAAAGGCCTTTTGCAGCAAATCAAGCCGAAGCCGAGAAACGTCTCACCCAGGAAAAAGCAACCAACCCCTCCGTCAGAGCGGTGCGAAAAGAAATCCGTCGAGGATATGGCGAAAGTGTTTGGCGAAGTCAGTTTGTACAGCTCGAGAGCGGAGGTGGAGGTTTGACTGGCCTGCTGTCTGTCCCTTTGGAAACATTTATCTCTCCTTCAAAGTTATAGGATCTAGTCATTTCTCCGACATATGAGCGCTCTTTATGATGACTTGATGAAAAATTTCTCATACATTTATTCTCTTGCTCCCCTTCTTCCTACCAGGGATCTATTTAACTATCCTTGAAAACCGGTAAAAGCAAGCAACCTTATTTGGATGCTGAATGTAGATAAGAGGCACATTTGACATTATATACGGAAGAAATCATCCCAAATTTCTTAAAGATTGTTTATATGGGTTCGTTTCTCGGTCTGCATATACAAATTCATAGATAATCGATATCTCCGCTATACTTTTTCCATATATCATCCTGAGAACGCACATCTCCTTTCTCGCGCTAGATGTTACCCGTCACGCCTTCTGGATAATGGTGTCATCAGAGCTCAGATTCTCCTAGAAGACCCTTCCTCTCCTCCAGCCACCGGCGGCCAGATTCTCGGAGGAGCCGCTCTCCTTTGTTTCAGACATCTGGACACTTGCCTGTACCATCTGGGAAATTATTGGCCAGCGACCTTTGTTTGAAGATTTCTTCCCGACTGTCGACCGCGTGACCATGGAGCAAGTCGAAGTCCTAGGCACTCTTATCACCGGAATGGTGGAGAAAGCGGAGCAGAAGACTGGAATGGTTCAACGAAGATGGCGTAAGGCTTCTGAAGCCAGAGACGTCTGGGAGCGACGATGGTGTGGGCCGAACCTTGGACAAGAGGCTCGACTACAGCATACAAGAGCCTCGGGCTGAGGCGGGCCTGGAGACTGTGACGGAGGCAGAAAGGAGAGCTTTTGAGGGCATGCTTCGGTCGATGTTGGCCTTCCGGCCAGAGGAAAGAGCGACAGCGGAACAGGTATTGCATTCAGAATGGATGAAGGGGCGGGAATTACCGGCTCTGGAACGGAGTTCGAGTACCTCTGATTCTTAGGAGAGCTAAACGAAAGGTAGAAGGCTGAGTCCAGAACCGGCTTACAAAAGGAGAGAGATCTGCTCGTTGATTAAATTCTATTGATATTCTATAACCATTCTTCATGTCGACTAGTCGTGCTAGTAATGGGGTTCCTGAAGCAATCAAAGATTGTATCCGTGTAGGTAATGACACCAGTTTCCAGACTGTAAGCATTTCCCAGCTCTTCTGCAACCAAAGACCAGTCCTAAGCAAACAATCCCCAGTCCCTAACCTCCAAAGTCTGCACCAACCGATCAATAGCCTCAGTAGCCACCTCCTCCTCCTTCGACAAACCCCGCGGATCCCCCGACAAATCAAACTCATCATGCGGGACATTAAAGAAAATAAGCAGATCCGACTCCTGCGCCTCCAACCGCACAAGCAGATAATGCACCGTCACCCGCGACGTCTGCGGCCCGTCCACACTAGACCCCGCCGCCGCACCCCCAACCGAAACAGGAATCCTCCCCGTATTGGTATCCCTCCGCTGCCGCTTCGGCGTCGTCATCTGCACGACGCCCTTGTACGCATGCGCGCGCGCAGAGGCAGGGATCTTGGCGGGGGTTACCGCTGTAGCGGGGATGATCACCTGCAGTGTGTCATCTTCGTCGCACAGGTCACGCAGGTGGTACATGACGGCTGCTTTGTCGATTGTCTCGTGGGTGGCGGGGATGCCGCCGCGGACGGCGGCCTGCGCGTCTAGCGTTGATAGTGCCTGCTCTTGTGTGACGCGCTGGTTGACTTCGACGATGAAGCTTGAGAGTGTGGTCGGGGAGAGGAAGAGTACTTGGTGGTCTGGGATCTCGCGGAGGGAGCTGTTTCCCTAAGATGTTAGCTTGGATGCCTTTTGAAGAGCAGGAATGTGCGATGTACTAACCTTCCGTCTACCCAGCCTTCGGGGATAATGCCCTGAATTGCACCGCCGTAGAAGGGCTGCTCAGTAAAGGTAGCCATATCGTCTTGTTGCACGTAGTTATTTTCTTTCAACGCGGGGAAGCTGTCGGAGATAATCGATAATCACGGACAACGCAATATTCACAGGGCGAGCGAAATGTGATCTGGGTGAGCCGAGTTAGCCAAGGTAAGTGTATGGGAAGCTGCCTCGGAGGTATTTATCATCCCATTTCTCAGTGTGTCTATTGTTTCGAAGCTGTTGACTGCGGTCGACGGTATTCCGCCGCAGAAATGACGTCCGCCTTCGGTCGTGACTGGAGGGGTTCCCGTTCGTCTGATTGGTCGGATTTGACCTCTATGAGTGCTTAATTGGAGAATGAATGTTTACATATGCTCTGAAGCACAGTATCCCTGAAGCAAAGTTGGAGCCTACATCTCGTAGATAGATGCCTACTTTACTATTTGCGCAAGACCAACTGTAGAAAGACGGTTGTCGGTCCTCCGGTTGCTGCCTCCAAGCTAGCGGATTGCTCGACGCTAAAGGTACCTCTCTACACGATTGAAACAAAGTGCACGGATAACCTATATAAATATCATTGGCCTCACATGTCTAACAGCTCTTCACTGAACTCATCCAATGCGATAAACCTAAATTGTTTCCCCCACTTCGCGCGAAATTCCTTTCGACGGTAGGCGAAGCTCGTCACTTGCGAGAAACTCACAAGCTCGACGTTCCATCCTCGCTGCAGTGCTCGCTCCACCATCTTCATAAAGCCTCCTGAATACTCAGCTTCCGCTGCGTCCCCTGTGGCTAAAACAATAGTCGCCGGTTCATCGGTATCCACCAGACTCTCTAGGATCTTCAGGTGCAGAATTTCGTCCACTCCCTGTTCAACCCATCGCTCTTCCGGCGCATCGTTCGTTTCAGAACCGCTGCCTCCTTCCTGAGAGCTGACTCGGGGATTCTTCCGATACTTCAACTGACGACGAGTCACATGTTTCACCTTGTGAACCCGATCCAGTATGTTGGCCTCGTAGCCCAGCTTTTGACTTTCGTCAATGGCTGCAAATCGATCAGAGCCAACCAAGACTCTCTTGGCAGCGGGGCGGCCACGCTCGAGAATCAAGGAGAAGTTCTGAAACGAGAGGGGTAGGCGCCGAATGCGAGTCTTCACAGGTATATTGCGAGCTAGCTTCACAGAGTCATGAAAGCCAACCATAATCTGTGATGTCCAAAGTTAGTCACGATCATGGAAATGATGGTGTACCAAATACTCACGTTGGACATATCCACAAAGACATGGATGGGACGAGACGCCTGATTGTTCGATTTAGTGCTTGGAGACCGGCCAACTTGAGCCACGGCTTCTGCGTATTCAGGAAATTTCTTCAGGAGTTTCGTAAGGAGACCAACTCTTCGGTCTGCTGCCGACTTATACGCAATGGGCTGCACACGAATAGGGCCAGTAGGCAAGCTCTTGATAGTTTCAGCTGTAAGGGACCCTTCCAGCTCATCAAAAGACGATGGCGGAGTGTCGCACGGCTCAGCATTGGATGCCGGTGTGCAGACTTGAGAGGGAATGAAGGACACGGCACCCCGTTTTTTCAACAAGGGTGGGTCAAAGACACTGAAGTTGCCGTCCGACTCTGCTTCCGCACTACTCTCCGACGAGCTGGCATCAGAAACTTTCGATTGGGGGCTCTGACAAGCTGTGCTGTTTTCTGCTACAGCCTTCTTTTTAGGGAGTTGAGCTTCAAAGGCATCTGAACTAAGGATCGGCCTAGGGGCAGCCCGCGACGTCTGTTCGATAGTATATTCGGCAGATTTTGCGGTGGCTATAGGACTCTTGAGGATCTGAATCGGCTTGCATTTCTGAGGCTGTTCAGCACGAGTAGCCCTAGGAGGCAGAGACTGTTCTGTCTTCGCGCCCGGTGAACTACCGCGACCAAGGAGATCCCAGAGAGGGCCAAAATCACCTAGCCTCGGGTAGCCACCGCTCGAATCATTGGCAGTTTTCTCGATGTCCTCTTTCTCAAAGGCAGGAGATAGATTGGTGTGGGCAATTGGATGGGATTGCTCACGCCCGTCGTAGGCAGGCGAGCGTAGCAGATTCAACACCGGAGTGAAGTCCCAGTTCGAAGCTGTTTCAGCAGACGATGGCATTGACAAGTAACGCGATGGTTCGAGTTGATACGTATGCTTCAGAGTTCTGGAAGCGTCAAGGCGCTTCTCGGATAATGCGGGGTTTCGAAAGGATCACGAAGAACGGTAAACTAAACTGGAGCGACAATACGATAAAATGACTAGAGATGACAATATGATAACAAAGAACAAGATGTAATGGTAGAGCAGGTCAACATGGTTGTCGATATAATCGCACAAGACAACGTTGCTGCCAGAAGCATTGAAGGAAACGTAGATGATAGAGAAGGCAGATCGGGCATACACCATGACCCTTCCCTTGCAAGATGACTCGATGGGTGGCGATTATTCTGTCGCCTCCCACCGCCTTCTCTCTCGTCGCAATCAAAAACTCATTTCCATAAACGGTATAGCCTTTGCGGAGGGCGCAATGAGAGATAATCCGATACAAACATAGCTGCAAAACTGCCAAGAATATTGCTAACCACATATGGGCTAGCCGTAAATCATCCGGACGTCATCGCTTCATAAGTAACTATGGGTCAACCATATTACCTGCTCTGATGGTTGTGGCTTAAACCTCAACGTCACAGCTTCAAGCCTCACGATGGCTGCGCACGAGTCAGGGGCAAGCTTCGTAATGGTGACGTTAGATCCATCGTATGTCATGTCCGAGGCACAGGGCTCGGCGATGGCAAGTTGTGGGGTATCTATGGCTGTTTGCAAGCACTTGTGGATTATGACAGGCTATGTACCTGGGATAGTCGCAATCCTAATTACAGATATCGCAAGATACAAGTTGCTCAAACGACGTCATTGAAGCAGTCAAGTTTCAGGGGTCCAGAAATGGCAGGCAGAGAAAGATATAAAGGTCTCGTTCGACCAGCGTAGAGCTCCTTCAACATCAACAATCACAACAATCCAAACAATCCACAAGCAAGCAAACACTTTTCGAACCCAAACAACCTTAAGAACTTTCTCCTTATCAAACCATCTTCAAAATGTCTGACGCCGGTCGCAAGGATTTCTCTACCAGTATGTGATACGCATCTCCATACATTGCAACCATTGGTACGGTTCACTAACACAAACGTGCAGAGGCCAAGGAGGAGATCACTCCTGACTCCACCAAGTCCACCCAGCAGAAGATCAAGGAGGGCGTTACTGACACCGGCGACCGTGTCGCTCGTGGTCTGCAGACCGACGGAAGCAAGTCCGGCACTCAGGAGGCTTTCGACAAGACTCAGCGTTCCCATGACAACCATGCCCACGGCGGTGCCGGCGGATCTATGTGAGTATTCTTCAAACAGACTGATCTTGCAACTAGTTCTGACTTGTCTTCGTGCAGTGGTGACAAGGTCAAGAACGCCGTCGGCCTCGGCAACCACTAGATATGCTCTGTTGGAAGCGAACGAATAGCTTGGGCAGCTTGATATCATGATTCCAATTATGAGTTCACGATAGCACTTCAGAAACCATGCTTTCATACCCTTTGTCATTATTAGTTACGAATGATATGTCTTCATGATTGAAAGTAGCTCACATGCTCGCCTATATCCGTAGTTCATCTCTTCTCCACTAAACTCTCAAACATCGAGTCCCGTCGCTCAATGAGCTGGTTCAATTCTCGCTCGAGCTGCCTGTATTGTGCCCGAGCGCCCTGAACGTCCTTCGGCAGATCATGGAACATTTTTAATCGGTGGTCCAGACTCTGAATGATGCCTTTCAGTTGGCTTATTTGCTTCTCTTCTGTGACCAAGTCTTCGATTGTAGGACCTTTGCTGCTGTTTCTTCCCAAAGTTGCTAACCTATCTTGGTATTCGGTAAGTTTTGCAGTGAGCATTTTGGTACTCCTCGACCACTCCGCGGTCTGAGCCGGGAGGTCTGCAGGTACTTCGAATGCAGGGTCAGACTTGAGTTGATCAAGTTGTTCCTGTATAGCGGCCAGTTCCTTTTCCAGATGCTTTTGTAGCATGCCAACCTTAGAAAGTTCCTCCTGAGCATCAAACTCCTCTACTGTGAGCTCGATGATTGACTGACCAAGGTCTCTGGTCCCTGTGCGTAGAGCCCCCAGGACAGCAGTCGTCTCCGCCAAATCGTCGAGATCTCGTTTTCCGTTCTCACCGAGGCAAAGCTCCAGCTCATCCAGTAGTTCTTTCTTCTGTTTATCCTCAGCTTCCTCCCGCTCCCTGAAGTCCCGAATCGCTTCCTCGCGCGCACGGTGGAGCAATGCGGCCTCTTCGTCCGCTGCGTCGTTAGCAGCAGCAAGAGCTAAAAGTGTACGCAAGGTGTCTTCGTTTCGTTCAAAATTCGGTACCGGATTCGGCGAGTATTGGCGACTTAGCCACGAATTCACATATGCCCAGTCTTTAGCCTGAATGGCTGCTTGACGTGCCTTTGCGGGGGAAAGGAGCGGGCTGTCCATCGCGAATGCGGTCCGAGAAAACTCCTGACTGGTATATAGAGAAGCAAGATTGTAAACCAGACCGCATCGATCAATTCCCGCGTGTAATCGAGGTTTATCAATTATGCCACCGGCGTTCCCATAGGTCGACTCGAGATGTCTATGTGATGGTCGATGGCGGATTGGAATCGGACGCGGGGTTTGTTGTTGTCCGACTTCCCGCTTTCACTGTAGTGACCTCCTGGATACATCATCCTCCGACAGATCGCCCGTCTGACTGTTAGTCGGATAGCCCACCATGGAAAGCTACTTTCCTCCGGGAGCTACAGCTAACCACTCGTCCATACGTACTTCTTCTCCAGCCTCCACCCCGCTATCGCCGCCTACACAGCGATCAAATGCCTTGTCAAACCGACTGACAAGTGTACTGTCGGCCTCCTATGCGGACTCCGATATACGTGACGCGCTGGAGACACTCAGTCTTCGGGGCGTACACAACACTGCAGAGACACGAAGGCAGCTGCGCTTAGATGTGCAAAAAGAAGTTGTGGAATGCAATGCAGAAATCGTGCGGGACTTTGGCAAGGTCGCGGAGGTGAGTCGTTTCGCATCTTGGGCGGCACAAGAGAGACATTTGAGGCGGGTGGCTAACATAGTTCAATTTGGTAGCAATTGCAAAGGATCGGAACCGTGATATCAAGCCTGAATCAAACGTGTGAAGAAATGCGGCAGCACATTGTCCGAGCCAAACAGGACACGGCACCGGTCATCGAGGAAGCATCTGCACTGATGAACCAGAAGAAGGAATCGGAGACAAAGCAACAACTTCTCGATGCGTTCGTGAAGCACTTCGTCGTCTCGGACGATGACCTACTTGTTCTCACATCGGCAGAGGAACCCATTGACGACCGCTTTTTCGATGTACTTGATCGGGTAAAACAGGTGCACCATGATTGCGAAGTCCTCCTGGGAGGGGAGAACCAAAGACTGGGCTTGGAATTGATGGAGAAGAGCTCCAGGAATCTGAATTCTGCGTATCAGAAACTCTTTAGATGGATACAGAAGGAGTTTAAGTCATTAAATCTCGAAGATCCGCGAATCAGCAGTTCAATCAGGCGCGCTTTGCGCGTCCTGGCCGAACGACCGAGCCTCTTCCATAGCTGCTTGGACTTCTTCGCCGACGCACGAGACTATGCCCTGTCCGACGCCTTTCATTATGCCCTAACCGACGCCGTCTCCGGCTCTGGGGGTGACCGCAATGTGAAACCGATTGAGTTTTCTGCTCATGACCCTTTGCGGTACGTCGGTGATATGCTGGCATGGGTCCACTCTACGACTGTATCCGAGAGAGAGGCCTTGGAAGCTTTGTTCGTAGCAGATGGGGAGGAAATCGCAAAAGGGATCCAGGCTGGCCTGAGCAGCGAACCCTGGTCACGTATCGATGAGGGAGAAGAGGTTTCCTTTGATGGTCAGAAAGCCCTTAGCGACCTCGTGAATCGCGATCTAGTCGGGGTGTCTCGAGCTTTACGGCAGCGAGTTGAATTGGTGATTCAGGGCCACGACGAGCCAGTCACTTGCTACAAAGTGGTTCACTTGCTTTCGTTCTATCGAGCCACCTTTTCCAGACTGCTGGGAACGAAATCCAATTTGGCAGACATGATGCAGACACTAGAGAACTTTACTTTCGCCCGCTTCGAAAGCATTATGCGCGAGCAAGTCAATGTACTCTCTAACGATCACGCTGCCTTGACTCCACCGGACGACCTTTCCGCGCCGGAGTTCTTCCTTGATGCCTTGGAAGAACTGACCTCCCTCATGAAGACCCATGACGCTTCACTCGGGGCAGAAGATGCGGAATCCGAAAGCACAGCGGATAACAAATTTACACCCGTCCTCCGTGTCGCGTTTGATCCTTTCCTGCAATTGGCCAAATCTTCAGCCGCCGAGCTCCCCGACGCAACAGCCCGAGCTATCTACACCACCAACGTTCTTCTAACAGCGCGCTCAACGATCTCTGCCTTCCCATTCGCAAGTGCAACACATCTGAATCCTATCTCAACAGCATTGTCTAGCCTGCGGATGGAATTGCTCGAAATTCAACACCGCTATCTTCTCGATGCTTCAGGCCTGGGCGTCTTGTTAGCTGCCCTCGAGTCTTTCTCACCATCCCCAACAACTTCAAAACCGGAATCTGAAGGAAAAGATGGCCACGCACCGCCACAGGCTGATAGACAACCCACAGACATCGCCGAGATAGCCGACCTTCCCGCCTTCCAGCAAGAAGCCCTCATCGCCGTCAGCCAACAACTCGATGACTTCCTTCCCTCGGCCCTAATGGATGCTACGGATAACTTGAAGCACCTTCAGAGCGCCAGTTTCGTCCAGAGTGTCACCGAAGAAGCGGTCGAGGCTTTCTGCCGCGACTTTGAATTTGTGGAGGGCATGATTATCGGCGCGGACGAAGCTAGAGGTAGAGTACATATTAAACGGACGGAGGATGGAAGTGACGCTGGCGTTGAGGATGATGTTGTCACTGAGAGCGGAAAGGTACCTGATGGTGATGAGCAGGAATCCGGGCTTAGGAGGCTCTTCCCTCGTACTACGGGCGAGATCCGGGTGTTACTGAGTTGATCGCTAGGAGACTGCTTCCGTCATGGCTTATGGTGGTGGAGTCGTGTATATAGGTGCTTCATCTACATACTCATCTGCTTGAACCTAGTTCTTCATGATGGTTTTTGCTGTGTGCTCTACTAGTGCTAAGGGTACATTACACCGGCGGCAATATATACTTCATTGCGATGTTGAAGAGATCACGCCCGTCGGATCATAATACCGTAAGGGTCCCGATCGCGTTCACTAACGTCGACAGCGCAACTAGGGTCCTTGTAGACCTCCTCGCAACTCCCGATCACGCTTGCTCCTCCTTGCTTGAAAGTCTCCTCTAGAGCCTTGAGCCCTTCTTCGCGCTGGGCCTCCCATTCCTCCTTGAGGGTAGCGGCTAGCTTCTGACGCATGACGGCATGCAAATACCCTCTTTCGGTATTAGAATGCGCGAGCGCAATGACGACTGACCCACGCTCGATGGCCGACAGCGCTTCATGGTGACTCAACTCGCCTGTGAACAGAAGGTCTGGCAGGCTGCCGGAACTCATAAGGATACTAGATCCGGAACCCGGGCAGATACCGATGGTGCGGATCTTAATTAGATCGACCGGGACAGTTTGTGGGATCGCGATCGGGATACCGCCCGGGTGACCGACGCCTTGTGCTATGCGGTCGACGATGGTGGTGAGAGGCTGGGGAGTCTCGAAGGTGACGAGACGGCCCATACCGGCTGATTCCATACCTTCAGGGACGGGGGAAGGAGATGGATGGATCGTGCTTCGGGCGTGGGGAGCTGCGGAGGAGGGGGTGATGGATGCTGGTCGAGGTTGGGGATACGTTGGCTGGGAGTAGTGCTGGGAGGTGGACGCAGAGAGAGGGGGAGAGGAGTCGGTGGATGGAGCAATTGCGCCGGTAACGACGTCGCAAAGCCAGTCTCCCATTCCACCGGGGGTAGCGTCCACAGCTGTATGCGGAGAGTACACGCTGATGCCCTCCGAGGCGAGCCGCAGCAGTGTCTGCTGCTGTGTGTCATTGAGAGTGAGGGACTTCAGTCCTCGAAAGATGATGGGGTCTGCGTCACAAAAACCTGGTTAGCGAATATGCTGGTAGCCCGTAGACGATTGGCGGGCACAATGCATACGGTAGGCCACAACCACTGAATCCTTCCGCTTGATAGCTTCATCTGCCACAGCCTTTGTGAGGTCAATGGTCAGAAGCACTGAATTCTTTTGCCGCCGAGCCGGGTGGAAGGGAGCTTCCAGAAGCACTGGGTGAGGGCTGTATGAGCAATTGGGACACTATGACATAATACAGGCAATCTCACAGCCAGTGTTGTCAAAGCTCTTGTCTGCTAATGACTCCGGATAGCTGTAGGAAAATTAGCAAAATCGCAATTGAGAAGAAATGTCAGTGATGGCAGGATGAACTAAGGTGCAAGCATACAGCTTCTTCATAGAGCTCACAACCGCCCGAGTGAAAGGTGACGAGGTGGTCGACATTGTTGAGAGCCGGCGCAGTGCTACCCGGGAGAAAGAACTCATGAAAAGTTGCAATTGTTTTCAGGTGATGTTGCGCAACAGCATATGTCTTTGAAAGAAGATCATAGCAAAAGGTACACCCCGAGCGATAAGAGAGGGGATAGCTTGCGCCACGCCGATACATGCTACACCAGCCACAAGATGCAGGTGATCAGATAAAACTGAGCGTACAGAACTAATCAAGCCACACACTGTAATTTACGCCGTCACACATTCCCGACCGAATCCATCAGTTACGGATTCCGTCATCCAAATTCCGCGGATTGGTAATATCTAATCGACTACTTCAGTATCACTTATCACTTTTCGGAGCTGTTTGCAAGATCTACTGGTACACGCATCAACGCGCTGGCTTGCATATTAAAGGAAGACCCCCGCTGACCCCTCTCTTACTTAACACCTGACAGCCACGCTTGATGTACTCCCGCACCACCACTTTGTTAAGCAGAAGCTGCCGGTACCTTCTCCGCACCCCCATTCGCCAAAACTCGCCCTTTTCGATCACTGCACGCTCCTTCGCGGCTATCAACGCAGCAATGGCGGACGCAACGTCGAGTGTGACGCCGGAGCTACTGAAGAGTAAATTGGTTGAACAACTTCAGGCGCAGGTTGTGGAGATTGAGGATTTGTCTGGTGTGTAAAATCTGCGACGATGGCTGCAGTATGGATATACTTGACTGAGGATGTCTAACTGCTTTTTTCCCTCTTATAGGTGGCTGCGGACAGGCTTTCCAGGCGATTATTGTTTCTCCGCAGTTTGAGAAGAAGAACATGCTTGCGCGCCATCGGTTGGTGAACTCGGTCTTGAAGTCGGAGATTGCTGCTATCCACGCCTGGACACCCAAGTGCTACACCCCCGAGCAATGGCAGGCTCTGCAGCAAGGAAGCGCTTGAATCCGCAATATGCCAAGATTATGATTATGGCGCTTGGTCTAGGGGCGAGTTAGGTTTTTGAAACGTTGTATATTCCAGATGCCCTTATCGCACTTGGGTATCGAACAATCAGGCGCTAGGAGGATTTCTAGCATACATCGCCTTTGGCAATAGACTACATATGATGGGAGTTACCATTGTACCATCAACAGGATCATCAAAAATCACACCGTGAATTTCTGATACCTATCGTTGTTTAGCCCAACACTTTCTCGGCCGCCGAGACTACATTCCATGATGTTAGTAGATTTCTGGCAACCAAGACAATAGTAGGAAATATGCATACCGTTGACACCGGTGTTATCGGGCTCGATATAAGCCTCCTTAACCTTTCCATCCTCAACGACAAGCGCATAGCGCTTGCTTCTCTGATTCCCAAAGATTGAGCTGCTGTCGAAGATGACATCGAGCGCCTCCGAGAACTTGCCGGTCGGATCGCCCATAAAGCGGATCTATCCTCTTTTTTTAGCGTCCATTGATCTGTAGATTCGCAGTGTCGTGGGGAAGACTTACACCACTCTTGCCGGTGGCATCAAGGGAAACGCCCCAGGCCTTCATCCTATTATGTCATGGTAAGCTGCGGTCACTGAAACCCCAAGCATTTGGAGGCTCCTTAACGATCGACCATCGGCGACTTACACAAAGGGGTCATTGACTGAGACCACGAAGACCTGGCCGGCTTCCTTGAGCTTGGGGTGGTTGATATAACCCGGCACGTGGGAGCTAGAGCAAGCGGGGCCTTTTATTCGAGTCAATTAGCATTTGTCTTTTCCCTCTCGTCGATCTCATGTCGGATTGATGCGTATGAGATGTAGGGGTCCAAGGCGGGGCCGCAAACGTACTGAAAGCAGCAGGGACACCGATAATAACCCCCTTTCCCTTGAGCTCCTTTGCAAGATTGACTTTGTTTCCAGGTGAACTCTCGACCAGCACGTCGAGATCCGGAATGGCGTCTCCCTTTTTGACGAAGGCTGGCGCAGTGCTGTGAAACAGCGCCCTCCGGGACACGGCGTGAGGGGCGCTGGTAACGAGGCGACGGGCAGCGAACATCTTTATGAGAAGAGGAACTGTTGAGCTCAGAATGTGGTTATCAGCTGCTATGATATGTAAATGTCCAATTCAGTTGGTTGACAGATAATGGTCTCCGAGATAGAGGATGAATGTGATGGATGCGTAGGGAAGGTTTGTGTACCTGGCGCGTCGTTGGGGCTAGATAGCATGGCCGAGGCGCTTCACCACTACTGGACGTATTTCGTCATGGTCTCCTCTCTGCTGGTATGGCAGCATGGGGAGCCCTCTAAGTTCTCCATCAACACTCTGGTCGATACGAAATGTAATTGAGGACTGTCATAAATATTGCAGTGCATCTGCTTGCCTTTTCCTACTACTGTATAATCAAGTCATGAGGACGTTCTGGCGGTTCCAGGTTAATGTATGGCCAAGAGGACTCGGTCTGCAACATAGCCTGATCTAATTTCTATACGGAGTATAGGTAAAGACAATTAAGTCAACTATCTGCCCTAAGTCGCTCAATAGTTATTAATACTCTGAACGGAGTGGTTGGTGCAAGGGGTACTTAGTAACTAACTGTTGACAGCTGAGGAGGAACTGACATCTTTGCTTGTATTTTCACTTAAGTCAGAATCTTCAGCGACAGTCAAGTATGGCAGCTTTTGAATGAAAGAGATTCAGACCCCTGACCATACCCATTATATCTAGACTAGTACTTCAAATTGTTCTCCCCGAATGCCAACTATCTTAGTACGTATTAGGGTGATCTGCTGATGTGGCGCACAGCTCCCTGAAACCCGGGTCTGTCCGAACCTCATCAGTCACAAGGGTAGGTATGTAGAATTTCCAACACTGTCCATAATAAAGGGACATCAGAGGATATGTAAGAATCATAAGTAGGAGTACTCCTGAATCCAAATAAAGGCGAACATTCCAATGGTTCGATCTCTCTGGACATTTCATCTTTCCTGGCCCCAAAGCTATCTCTATATCGGTTGTTCCCACCCCATCCACGTTCCGCGAGGGATCTGCATGAAACCAGCAATTCCAAAACTATTCATTATTCGTTAAAGGTGAACGGATGTTGGTGCGGGTAGAATATCCGCTATGTGTCTAATCCTCGACGACAGTTTGACTGGAGTATTTATCCACCTGCCTTATGATAACCCTGTGGTACTCTACATAACTCCTGGGGTCTTTCACCTACCTACATACGTTCTTAGACCACAAGAAAATATCTACAGCAAGTTGCAATTAGTACCTTTGACGAATGAATAAGGACAAAACTATCAATATCTGATTGACCGTTTCCTCCTATTGTGGAAGAGCGTCAGGACTCAGGACCCAAGTGTTAGGACGATCATAATGCATTAGACTTCCCCTCCACCATCATCATCCGCCTATCCTCATCAATACTCTAGGGTCGTACTCTCTAACGTCTTCCCCTCCAATTGTTGTTGCTTCCTGTCTGCATCTAAATGCGCACTGACATTACTAACTTCCATGATTCTAGCATTTGTAGAGAGGTAGTCACGTTGGGTTTAA